ATCTCATTTTTTTTCTCTTGTTCGATGGTGTGTCCCTTTGGAATAAGTTTTTAAGTTTTTGGAGGATTTGCTCTGTATTACCAGCGGACGCTAAAAGTTTCTTTCTAGTTTGGGATGGTTTTTGATTTGGCCTTTTATTCCAGGGGTCGTTCTGTGGACCACTTGGAAAATGAGGAATTTCGTGGTGTTTGAAGGGGGAAAGTTTGATAAGGCAGAATTCTTCTTTTTAGCAAGGTTTAGGCTTGCTTCTTGGTTCTTAGCAAAGTATAAACAGTGTCTATTCCTAAGGACTCACTATTTCCGATCCTTCTCTTGGGGACTTGTTTTCTATTCGCTCTAATCAGATTTCTCCTACTTTACTTTGGTCTCCTCCTCCTTTGGGTTTTGTTAAATTAAACGTTGATGCTGCCACTACAAGAGATTGGAAGAAAAGCGGGTTAGGAGGAGTTCTAAAAGATTCCTCAGGTTATACTATAGGCTATTTCAAGGAAATTGCTGGTCTGGGACCTCCTACGTTGATGGAGTTAAAGGCTATTCTTATGGGGTTGTCTTTCTTTGCAAACTATCAACAGAGGATCAAGGACCGTCTGATTATAGAGAGTGATAGTAAGGTGGCTGTGGATTGGATTAAAGGGGATGAATTATGTCCTGTTGTATATGCCTTCTTGATTAAAGATATTGCTCATAGGCTTAATGCCTTTGAAGGTGTTGTTAGATGGGTTAGTAGGACAACCAATTTAGAGGCTGATGCCTTAGCTAAAGAAGGCATAGGCTGAGTCAGTAAAGTTGTTGATGGCTGTTTAGGGTGGTGTCTGGATTTTATGTGTTTTGTAAGGGGTTTACTAGTGTTGTTTTCGCTGATTCTGTGTTTTTAGTTAGGGTGTTTTATGGGTGTATCCAGCTTATTTGGTTCTGTTGGGTGGTTTTGTCGGTCGTATTGTTGGTTGTATCTTATGTAATTTTTGTTCAATAAAATCCTAAGACACTCTTTTCCTCCTTCCGCTGATTAAGGAGCTTCCTACAAGCTCCATTAATCAAGAAGAGGGTTTTTAATGAGGCTTGAAATTCTTATAAAAAAAATCTGAAGCTGAGGGAATTCATCCCTCATAAGGAATTCAACCAAGCGAGGAACAACTCCTGCTTGTATCACTTGCTCAATGGGTGGGCTACGTTCTGAGATAAACAAAAGATATTATTAGTTTATAAAATTTTACCATTATCAAACTGAATTATTACAAGATGAATTTCTCACCAATAGAAAGCAATTTTCTGAACTGTGTGGTCGCCTCAAGTTGCATATTACTATCATCACTCCAGACACCAGCAACCATGGCTGGCAAATTTTCCAACTGCAGTGTAGAAGTTGAACGTTATCAGAACAACCCAATGCAAAAAATGATATTAGCTGTCATAAAGTAAACCATGGAAAAACCAAATACATGGAATTCATGCAAAATATTGAAATCAATTGTGCTTTGAAATAAATTAAAGAGTAACCTCATTAGGATAATTAGCTAACTTAATCGTTAAGCTTTAAAAAAGGGAAGAAGGGCCTCGATAGAAGCGTAATACGAGAAGAAATAAAATGAATTGTTTATCATGTGTATCCGCTACCCAAATGTTTAAAGTATAACAAGGCTCCAATGAAATAATCGAAAATACTCCCAAAAAAAATACCCCATCAACATAATCGAAACCTAATAAAAGTAAAATCCTCTAAAATTAACAATCGATCATAATCCTAATTCTATAAGGTTAATAAAAGAACGAACAAACTTCGGACAAGAAAGCTTCAACAGCTTTAGCAATTTATGAATACTGAAGAATAATCGGGAAAAATAAAACAATTGAAAAAGACCTTTTTTTCATCAGCAGACGACTGAAGAGAGGTGGGCATTGGCCGCGCTTGGAGTCCTTCACGCCGCTTCTTCTGCAGACTCTCTTCACGGCGACTCTTCCTAATCTTCACCATGTTATCCTCCCTCCTCCGCCGTCCCTCTTCGGCGTGCACCGCCACCTTGTACCTGTTCCTCGAGACTCTCCTCGTGTTTGGTCTCAAAGACATCTTCTCTAATTTAAAAAATAAAACAATGATTCAATAGACCCAAAACCACATAAAATCCCAGAGAAATTATTTGAAACTTTTAATTAGATTTTTATTTCTTTGAATTGAAAAGAGGGAGAGAAGAGAGGATTTATATAAGATTGCAGCGGAAATCAAATTTTATATAATGGTCCTGGATTAGAGTTTATTTACAAGCCTACCATTATTTAAACCATTTATTTAACTAAACGTGTAATGTTAAATTAAGATCCAACGTTCATCAAAATAACCATTTTATTTTATATTCTGTTTTTTAAAGTATTTTGGACTCATAATATTTATTTTAAGATAAAATGTCTCTTAATTGACAGGATAATCATTTTATTACTTATTCTTTTTAAGAATATTTTCACCTTCAACGTTTAGATTTAGGTTAAAAATACTCTTATTTTAAAATGTTATACTTGTATTAACTAATAATTTTAATATATAGAGAGAGCTTTTTGTCTCAAAGTTAAATATTAAAGGTCAAAATGCTAAAAAAAAAATAACCAAAATAACTATTTTACAAATATTAGAGGCGATTTTCGGTATTATGTCTTAACTAAAAGAGACAAAAAGTGACTAGTAATTAAGAATTTGTTTTAGTCTTTAATGTTTCATTTTATATTTATCTTAAATTTATAAAAAATTAAATAAGACACTTAATCCTTCAACTTGGTAACTCTTTTAACATTGTCCCTAAAATCTATAATCTCTCAAATTAATCCATTTAGTCCATTAATCTCAAATTTGATAAAAAAATCAATTCCATTCTTGAATTTGGATTCACTTAACTGTTTTAATCCTTAAAGAAATCTAAATTTTAAAGTACGTTGAGAACAGTTCACGATACTAATATAGATAAAAAAATAGTTATATTAGGAACAAGTTTTTAAGGTTGAGGATTAATGCGGATAAAAAATTAAAAAAAAAAAACAAACTAAATTAAAAATTACTAAATTTTGACAATTAAAGTTAGACCAACTTCATTTTACATTTTCAATCCACTGTATAACACTGTATATGAATTTAATAAGTATATTAGATAGCATTTGAGTTTTAGTTGGATTTTTCACTTTAATATAAATTTATAGGATATGTTATGAGTAATTTAAATGTTATTATTTTTCGTGCAATATAATAATTATTGTAAGTATAAATTAAAATATATTAAATTATTTAAACATTTTAAAGTATCATAATGGCATGTTTTGTTTTATAAATTAAAATATATTGAATTGATATTCAAGTGGAAATTAAAGAGCTGCAAATGTTATAATAAATTTATTTTGTGTATAATGGACCGGTTGTTAAAATATATGAATTGGGCAGGGTAAAAAGGCTAGAACCCTAAATGACACAATTGGGCAGAATAAGAATACGAATAAGGTGATCATAAACCCTGAGCATCTGTTCACAAAGACAGGCTCGGTTGCATCTGATGATGCAGAGGATCCTTTCACTCCTAGAAATAAAAGGCCTGTGAAAACTAGGGATGGGTCTTTTCCGACACAATCGGGTCGGATGGTGCCCTCATAAACCCATATTGATTGTGGGTGAAAGGTTTAGTTTTTTTATTCGGGCTCGGGTGGGATAAAAATTCGTCCCGACTCGTAACCATCCTCCCTACTTATAAATGATGATCTTCCTACCGGAGAAATTGCAATGGATGTTGGATAGTAATCACAAAGAATTAGACTCATCGCAGTTATCAACTTTGCACCCATAAGAGCCTCCGTCCCTACTATACATACTTATAGTCAACTACAATGCATAGATAAGATCTATGGCTGACTCACGTGACGTGTCTTAAAAAAAATTCAAAATCTAGCGATCAAATTTGTCTGGCATGTCATTCCTCCAAATGTTCGATTAAAAATTGTTCTCTCACTTTGCCCAAATCAAAAAGGGTAAATCGTCGACAAGCCAAACTAGTTCCAACCAACAATATATATAGCTCCCTCTATTACACAGATAATATAATAGAGGGACTAAATTGATATAGTCTCTATAATAGAGGGACCTAGTAGACACTTTCACCAGAAAAGTACCCTTAATCAGATTTATGTGCACCTTTTAAGCCTGGACTGACATCTCTATTTTCTCCTATTGCTGGGTTGGCTACCAATATTCTTCTTTCTGGGATACATACAACTGAAATAATCAAATAAAGAGAGAGACTGAATCTTCCGAAATGTTCACATATTAGCACGTGGAAATCTTAAATATTTAATATTTATAATTAATTTAAAGGAAGTTGTTAACCATGGTTAGTATCTCCATCCTGTAAATTAGCATGTTAATCCTTCTCACCTTTAGTTTAATCACACTGCTGATATTCTGTCAATAGCTACACTCCAACAATGATTATTTATTAATTAAGTGGTATATCTGCCAGAACACATTTATAATTTATTTTTTGTGTGTTTATTTTCAATTTTACATTTATAATGCTATTCACACTTATAAGCATGGGATTATTAATTCCGCTATAAATTTTGGGTGAAATTGAAATTCAAAATAATTTGAAAAGGGTGGGAGAATGTGTAGGGATTATGGATTCAATCAATGCCCCTTCAACATATACTTCCATTATTAAATGTTAGATTCATGGTTGTTTGAAACTCAGGAAACACCTTGTTGCTGTTAATAAATTTGTTTATATTATCAATAATTTTTTGATTCGATGACACGACACGTTAAATAAAATTAAAAGTTTAAAATTTGATATTATTAATGAAATAAATTAGATTTATGCGATTGTTTTATATTAAACTTCGGTAGTATCTAACTTAAATTAATTAACTAGTGAATCAGACGTCTATGGCCAGAAAAATAGATGGCCCAAAATGACATTTTGGGGGTATTTGACAGCTTATAAAAGGCACCCCATAGATGAACAAATCTGAAACATATGGAGTCCCAAACCCCAAACGGCCAAGTTTTCCCAGAAGACTACCTAGAAAGCACCAGCTCCACACCCGATGGCAGGGCGCCAAGACCCGGACCCGGGTTCATCAATGGCGGGTTCTTTTACAGTGCACCAGCTAGCCCCATGCATTTCGCAATCACGTCGTCCAGGGTGGTGTCATCGTCTACAACACAGCCCCCTTCTCCTGATTTCGAGTTCTCCGCAAGGTTCGGGTCATCGGAGCCGGGTCAAACGGGATCCATGAGTTCGGCCGATGAGCTTTTCTTGAACGGAAAAATCAGACCCATGAAGCTATCCACTCATTTGGAAAGGCCTCAGGCATTAACTCCATTGATGGATCTCGAGCACGAACAGGAAGAAGAAGAAGATTTAAGGGGCAGAGGTTATAAGTCTTCAAGTCTAAGGCGAAGAACAAGATCCATGTCCCCTTTAAGAACCGACACAAACCAAGATTTAGGCGGCAAAGCGGAGACCAACAAAGGTGCGGTGAGGAGCTCAAAGAGATGGGTTTTCCTCAAAGATTTTCTGAGGACCAAAAGTGATGGAAGAAGCAACAGCAATTATTACAAATTATGGTCAACCATTTCCTTTTATCCGGCAAAGGGAAAGAAGCCAAAAGCCGGCGGCGGAGAATCGAAGAAGAAGCCGATGAATGGGATAGGGAAAAGGAGGGTTCCAGTCCCACCATCGCCACACGAGTTGCTTTATACTGCAAATAGAGCACAAGCTCAAGAGTTAAGGAAGAAGACATATTTGCCTTACAGGCAAGGCTTGCTTAGCTGCTTGGGCTTCAGTTCAAAGGGTTATAGCGCCATGAATGGCCTTGCCAGAGCTTTGAATCAAGTTAATTAACGTCTCTGGGAAATTGTGAAACTACCATTTTTTTTATAAAATATTCTGACAAATGTTGCGAACATCCATGATTAACACTGTTTTCTTCTTCTTCTTCTGGATAATTGAAGCAATAAGATCACACACCACATATGGCTTGACCAACCCATTTCCTTCCTTATTTTCTAATTCACACGCACATGATGCCTTTGCTTCTCTGTTAATACTGCATGAGATCTGGGTTTGTTGGGATCTACAAAAGATATGGATTGTGACATCAACATTGAAAACGAAGTCTGATTAATGATATATTTTGGTGTTAAGAAATTAAATGAAGATCATGAACAAAAAATATTAAATGAAGATTGTATGGTTAGAAAGGATCCAGTGGGTCGTCTTTGTTGGTAGACATTGACATAAAAGGTATAAGATTAAGCGACAATTACTAGATTTGGGTAGTGCATGCAAATAATTTCAAGCCATTATGGCTTCTTCTAAGTGTGTTTTTTCATCTTTCTCAGCCACCACTGTGCACTTAATCATGCGAGAAGAGATAGATTAATGATATGTGCAATTATTTTTTAACTATTATTTAATATATTAATAATATCTTAAATATAAAAATTATTATCAAAATATTTTAAATTTAATTATATTTATTCGATTTAATTTTATAGAATCATTTTTCTATAAAAAAAATAGTTTTAATGAGTTATGTAAAATAGAGTGTTATAGTCAATAGTAGTGTCAAATTCATAGTAAAAAGTCTTCATTACTATAATATATCTCTATATTTAAGAATAATTATTATAATACCTCCTTATATATATAAATTTAATTATTTTTTTATTCTATTGAATAAAAAAATATCGTATTATATCAAAATAAATTTTTATCCAAAAAAATGAAAGATAAATAAAACATTATCAAATATTTTGATTTTAAATTCTGAATGAACTAAAAAATTGACCTTCCTGTCATATTATTTTTTGATCTAGAGTTATTGTTACAATGTTAAGAGTATGACGTCATGAACACCATACAACTTTAATTTTATAGTAGAATATGTATGAATTATTATGCGTCTTTAGCTTTTCCAATCAACATCTAATGAAATGTATAATAAAGAGAAAATAGTCAATGATGGAGAAGGTGCACATACGTATTCCCTGTGACTAAAAAAATTAAAATCCTTCATATTATATCAATGACTCTATATCAGAAAATCGTATTTTGGATAAGGAAAAAACTTTTCCACTGCCTACCCGAGCAAATTTCCCTGCCCAATATAGTAGGTTACCCACGCCTAACCCTTGGGGGCAATTGGCAGTGCTCTCCTGAATTCAATGGCGCCATCTCTATTTCTAACGTATACATACAAAAGTATAATTAAGTGTTGCAGAACAAATAGGAGGCACAGGTGGGAACTGTGTAAATGCTATTTAAAGTTGAAACGAAGACTCTGAGAAGTCAACAGCTTCAGACCAAGTGGCAACTATTTGTCTGTTTCTAACAACGGAAACAATAATAATAAAAATCACATGAATTACCATCACCAGTAAGCAATGACGTGGGCCAAAAAGGGTGGCAGCCTTTGTCGACTTCCATTCCTTCCTCTGCAACTTCATTCAAGCTCATCACGGTTTTTTTATCACTGCCTCTTCTCTTCGGGTTTCAAACGGGAAAATGACAGTATATTATGCGAGATTCATCTGCATCAAGTGAAGATTGTTTGGAGGATGGGAAAATTAGTGAGGAACTGCAATTGAGCATTTGAAATTCTGACAATGGATGGGTATCAAAGATATATATGATAAATGCAGAGGGCAGAAGCGAACTGTTGAGTTATACTAGGCTACACATCCAGAAAGAGAATATAATGTATAGTATCATCCAAATACTGCACGTGTACGTCTTAGTTTTCATGTCAGATTTTACTGTCCCAAAGACAAGGAAAAAAATAACACGCCTTCGTGTGAAAATTTTATTAAGGTCAACTCAACTAACTTCGTAATAAATAATTATTTTTGTTCATCAAAGTTACGAACATTATGAATATCAAAAATATAAATATTTAGTGTTAAATGATTGAGAAACTATCTTCGAATAATTACTCTAGATTAATAAAAAACATTGAGTTGATTAAGCTTACGATCACTAGAGTTTAGTAGATTCTAATAATTGTTCTCTTCTATAATATTTTTTATTTGATAAACTAAAAATTTAATCACTCTTGTTTGATGTTTAAAATTTAATTTAATTATTCAAACTTTGGAAATTATATTTTCCGAGTAATTTGTTTTATTAAACACCTAAAAGATCAAATAGTAAGATTTAATAAATTTATTTTGATAATTTGTTTAGGTCCATCTTAGTTTTAGGAAAAAAATAACGAACAAACATAAACCAGGATCCTTCCAAAACTTTCTTTTGCCATTAAACCAAAGATTTGTTAGATTTTCATAGTTTACACATTTCTGGGGGTAAAGGCAACAAATACAGTTGCTGCTGCTTGTTTGTGTGTGCGTTGCGGTGTTTTATTCATTTCTATTTTATTTAAAAAGAACTTGCTTAAATCTTTGGTTTAAGCAAAAATTACTGGACATATCTAGCGATCATAAAAACAAAAAAGAATGGGCATCTCGCTGTGCAGACAGTTAAAATAAAAAAATCAGTCAAATTTCATTTGATTGAACCATTCAATTCCTTCTTCCTCTAACAGAAAACTCCTGAAAACTACAATTCAATTTCTAAGAGTGCTAAAGGACGTTTTTATCTCCAAAAACAAATTGTCCGCGAAATATTGCAGCCCTACAGCTCATCCTGCACCCAAAGTACAATCATTGCTCAATAAACATAACAAATTTGATGAACTGATTCACAAAATCGGAATAACTACTTACGTGTGCATCTTCCTTGGCCTCGTCGTCTGAACCAGACTCATGTCCTTCAGCATCATCGACATCATCATCGTCCTCGGCCTAGAAAAACAGGTAACACAAAATATAGAAAAAAATTCCAAAACAATGGCAAACAGAGAAATCATATATTTGAAAAGGGATGCTGCATATGCTTACATCGGAATCAACTGGCTCATCCTTTGACTCCTGAAAATCATCTTTTCATTAATTAGAAAGGAAAAGCAATAAGTGCAAGTAATACTGAAATTACATGTTTCACCAGTCGCGAACAATACCTCATCCTCACTCTTTTTCTCTGCCTCCTCAAACGCTGCCTTCTCAGCCTGCAAAAGCCAATAACATCAGCCAAATATGATATGAGAACATAACATACAAAGATTTACATACATCCTTCTGCCTGCCCCATGTTTCTCTAGCTAGTTTCTTGGCGTACTCTACATCGTCAGCAACTAAGATGTTATCGAACATTGTTCCAGATTTCACCTGACAAAGCACAAACATTTATCTCTTTATATAGTTCTAAACTGAACCGGGACGATAAAAGGATAGGAGTACCTGCCACAACTCAATACCAACATACTTCAAGTTAGGGAAAACATAGAGATCTGGGTCGTCCTTGAAATCTACGGGCCATGGAAAAGCACAGGAATAAATAAACTAAAGCATTTTGACGTAAAATATAAAAAGAAAAAAAAAGCACAACAGAAATGATCTTAGCAAAAGACCTGGGTTGTCAATCATTGGTGCCTTCCACTTGCCCTTGTAGTTGGGGTTCTTGATTTTCTGAAAATAGAGGAAGAACTGTTACAAGTTGCTAATTCAAAAGCCATACCATATGTTGCAATTAGGTAAGGATCTCACAAACCTTTGGAGTCCATGGGCCCTTGTACTCAGGGTTGGGAGTAGTTGGGGCTCTCCATTCACCATCCTCCACCTCATCCCAATCTTCAGGCTGGGTAAATGATTTTAATCAATAAACTTTAGTTCAAACAAGGTATACTATTTAATGATAAAAGCATTCCAAAAAGAATAAATGACTACCTTCTTAGCATCCGGGACGATAATTTCTTTGGGAATGTCATCATAACCCTATAGTATCAAAACGCTCGCAGTTAGTTGCCTATGCATCTTTATGCAGCACTTCTAATATAGCATAAGAGAATGTTATTACCTCTGCCTTTTTGTCTTCAGGATCAGGGATGTATTCCCTATCATCCCAATCTTCAGGCTGCCCATCATGCAAAGTATTCAAGTTGAAGTGTTGTACTCCAAATGCATATGAGAAAAAAAGCAAACCAAAAAAATAACAACTGAGATAGGGTGCGACCAATTACCTTCTTGGCCTCAGGATCCTTGATCTTCTTTGGTGGGAGAAGATCCCAATCAGTGTACAAGCTACCAGTTTGTTTCTCAACATTATCAATAAGGATGCTGTACGTAGCATCTGGACGAAGAATGAATGTATAAACATGAGTGAGTTGGTCAGTCTCACAAGGAACATCCTTTTTGATCAAGTGGTTTGTCCCATTGTAGGTAAGAATAACATGCACTTTCTTGGTGAAGGAGCCACATAAATCAGGCCCAAACATGATGCTGCAACCAACCAACATAAGATAAAAATCAGTAAATATAACGTTAATATCTATTAGAGATGTAAATAGGTTAGATCACAGGGGCATGAAAAAACCTGTATGGGGTTTCACCGCCAAATTTCTTCTGGTCAATGAAACCACTGAGCAACTTCATGTAGCCACCACCACAGTCAAGCTTCTGCTCATGCTTCACAGAAAATTGGAAGACTAGGGTCTTGCCCTTGTTGTTAACTTCTGGAAACTCAGCTGAATAGCATAAAACCTGTAGTCTTCGATAGTTTGAATGCCTGTACAAGATGCAGAGTCATAAGTAACTAATTTGAAAAATAGTCTTCATCTATACCAAATTAACAGTAATTCCAGAACCTTACCTTTGTCATTAGGATCTCCATTCCATTTTCCAGAAGTGTAATTCCATTCCCCAGCCATGTTCTCATCTTTCTTCCAGTCAGATTTTACCCACCGACTTTCCCATCCATCTAAAATTTCACAGCAATAGAAAAGCAAAATCAGCCAAAAAGCTTGCAATCAAAGCTGCTAAAAACAGCGA